ACAGGTGGAGTTGGCAGAATCGATGGGGGTCCAGGCCACTGGATACTGCCCTGGATCTGGGCTCTGGTGCACCTGTGACCTTGGCACCTACAGTCGGGGGTGCCCAGGGTGAGGCCTGGGCTTGGGGCCCCGTGTCCAGCTGTTGGACCATCAGGCCGGCGGGCCCTGCAGTCTATCTCCCCTCCTTGCTTGTCCGGGCCCCACAGCCACTGCCCACCCGGTTGGCTGGGCCTGCTGGGAAGGGGCTGCAGGGCCCTCTGTGGACCCCATGCATCACTCACACCTACAGACAGGTCACACACACACAGAACGTGTCACACCCACACACAGGACATGTGTCCTTACTCACACTCATATACAGGACATATGTCACAGCCACACACAGGACATGTGTCCTCCCTCACACCCACACACAGGACATGTGTCCTCCCTCACACCCACACACTGGACATGTGTCCTCCCTCACACCCACACACAGGACATGTGTCACTCACACCCACACACAGGACACATGTCATTCACACCCACACACAGGACATGTGTCACACCCACACAGAGGATGTGTGTCACTCACACCTACACATGCTCCCATTCATGGCTGCAGCTCCATCCTCACACATAGCCCAGAACTTCCTTCTCTTTCCCTCTTCAGCATAAGAGCTGCCCTGTAGGGTGGTGGGTGGGGAGCCCCGTAACGCCTTAGAGTCCCCAGGCATCTCCGGGCTGGGAGCCCCATCCAGGGGGTGTGCAGGTGCTGAGAGCAGCGGCCTTACCGCCCGCCCATGCCTCCCCGGTGCTCAGGGGCAGAGACCTACCCTGGATTCTGTGGTTACCATCTCAGATGCAGGCCTGGGGACTGCTCGGTGTTCTCAACAGAAGGGGCAGGAGTCCCTGATCCTCGGCTTCATCCCCATTCCCTGGAGGGCTCTGCTGGTGCGTGGTGAGGGGACGTGGGCCTGCCCTTTGGTGCAGGGGGAGCACAGGCCATGAGGCACAGAGGTGGTGCCAGTCACCAGTGTCTGGAGTGACCCTTAGTGGCAGCCAGAGATCCTCCTTCTGGAAGGTTCTGGGTGCACTGCCCCTACTCCAGCGATCATCTTTGGAGAGCTGGGCTGGTGGGCGAGGAAGGATAGGACGGCTTGATCCGCCTGGTGGTCACCCCAACTTCCCATAAGATGGCTGGGTTGTTCAAGGGACAGGAAGAAAAGTTGCCAAGGGCTCTGGCCAAGCGGCAGCTCCAGAGAAGTAGCTCAAGGTCTTCACCTGCAGGAACTGAGCCCCTGGAGGGGAATCCAGTCCCCTTTCCACAGTTAACCCGATTCCAGAAATGAGCTCCAGCCACTGCAAGAGGTGTTTGCTTGTGGTTCAGTTCAATGTGAGAAAGCAGGGGTTGTTAAAGAGGCTACAGACATGGACATGCTGCCATGCACTCCCCAAATCTGCCATCCTGTGCCAGTGGCACCCTGGATGCCTCTAAGGGCCCTCCCAACCTTTGGTCTAGGAATTTGAGGTAGACCTGCCCAATTTCACCCCAAAGCAGACGCCTGGGAAGCTGGGCAGCCGGCAAATGGCCATGGTCCTCACTGCCAGTTCCAATTCTTTGAATGAGGGAGAGGTGTGGCCCTTGACGGCTTTGGAGGCCGGGCTGCTGCATTGTCAGGTGGCTGTGCATCGTCAGCACATGCTGCAGTGGGAAGGGGATGTGGACGGCTTGGGGATGTCTACCAGGAGCACCTGCTCTCCGTTTGGAGCACTGCTTTGTGCATCTTTGTTTTAGGGCCTCCTGGTGTTTTTCCACCCCTTGGGAGGGAGCAATGCCTTGTGCAGCCCTCCTCCTCCATCCCCTTGTGCCCTCCCTTTCCCCAAGGAGCATCCACAGGTGCCTCTCACACCCGGCTGGCCTGGCCATGCGGTGGTTTGTTAATTCATTCACTCCTTCGTCAACAAGCTTGCCGGCACACCTGCGTGTCGGAGCTGGGTGGGTGACGGTGATCAAGATGGAGTTCAGGGCTGCTCTCAGGGAGCCCGGGGCCTGGCATGGGAAGTGAGTTGTCACCCCAACTGAATGCCTAATCATGGTTGAGGGGCACTAAAGGGGGCAAGAGCGGGGCTCTGTGGGCCCTGATTTGGAGACGGGGCTTAGGGAGCCTCCCTGTGGAAGTGACATTTGGGGAAGAGAAGAGTTGTGCATGCAGAGAGCAGCTTGTTCATGGGAGAACCCCAAGCAGGGAGAGCTGAGTCTAGGGGGAGGCCAGGAGTTGGACGGGGGTCAGATAGGGAGGATCTGGGGACCGCGGGTTTTGTGCCGAGTCAATGGAAAGCAAATGAAGGGTTTTGTAACCAGGGAACCAAGATCTGAGTTGTCTTCTAAAAAGTCACTACGGCAGTGGGGTAGAGAATGGAAACTGAGTGAGCAGGAGAAGCTGGGGCCAGCTAAGAGGCGTCTGCGGAGGGCAGGAGATGACGGTGGCCTTGGTGTCATGGTGGAGACGAGGTGGAGAGACGTGGGTGTGTTCAAGGTACCCTGAGGGTGGACCCAACTGGACTGGCTTTGAACAGGATGTGGGTGAATGATCCAGTGTGTACGGTGCTATCTCCCAGACCCCTGGTCTGAGCCGCTAGGTGAGCTGCTAGAAGGATTCGCTGTGTGCTCATCTGAGTGACTGGCCCGGGGTCCAGGGAGCATCTTGTGGCCGTGCCCTTCCAGCCTGGGACAGACGTTAATCATTGGTCTCTGTGTCCTCTTTCTAGCCCAGGATGGAGACCAGTGATTAATGTCTGCCCTGGACACTGAAGAGAGGGCAGCGGCTGCCCCGGGCCTGGTGTCCTGCTGGGTGCACATGTGGTAGGGTCCGTGTGCGCCCCTTTCCGCCGGCGAGAGTCAGCTCTGCCTGCCTGAGAGACGATGTCGTCATCCACGGCAGCGGGCACTCTGGATCTGGCTGGGATTTTCAGAAGCACACTCCTTTCCCCCTTCGTTCCGGATTTAGGCAGATGCTTCCTGGGGGAGCAGGGAGGGAGGGAAGAGTGTGGAGTTTAGAGGAGGGACACAGGGTGGTGGGCATGGGCTCCAGGAGAGGGGCCCTGAGAACAGCAGGGTGGGGTCCAGCCGGTGGGAAACAGAGTGGGAAGGGGAGGCAGTGAGTGGCTGCTTTTCCCCGGGCTCAGAGATCCGGGCAGGTCCTGCCTTCCATCCTTCAGCAGAGCCCGGGGAGGGCAGCATCCTAGGGGTAGACTCCGGGCCGGCACCTGCTCCCCACCCAAGGGTGACTGGTCTTGGCTGTTTGGGGCTGGAGGTCTTCAGGACGAGGAAAACCGGAACCTGCGTGGTGGGAGCTAAACACAGCTGGTTTTTGCTCTTGCAGCTGCGTGTGTCAGCAGGCTTCAAGCCTCACACCTGGGACACGGATGTTTCCTGTTGCTGGGCCCCAGGCTGGTCCCCTGTCCCTGGGGAATTTCCTGGGCTGCTTCCAGGGTCATGGCAACTTCCATCCGGCTTCCCTGCAGCCCCCCGGCCCCTACCCTGTCGAGTTTGGACACATCCTCCAGCTGCACGTGTTTGGCTGGAGGGAAGAGGCTGGTGGGGCCTGGATGTGGCCAGATGCGTGTGAGGGCCCAGGCGGGGAGGGGATGCCCCCATGCCCGGGGCAGCGGTGGTGGCCGTGATTGCAGGAGGCGTGGGAGGAAGAAGCTTTCACAGGGACCCGTGTTTCTCTGTGCCAGTCCAGACCCAGGCCCGGTCGTCCTGATCCCAAGTCCAGGTTTGGGTGCTGGCCTTGGGCACATCTGTAAATGGGATGACCGCACAGGCCCTGAAGCCCGAGCCAGTCATGGCTCACTCTGTGGTCCAGGCCAGGTAATGAAGTCTCTGAGCCTTGGTTTCCCCACCGGGCACAGCCCCTGGTCTGGGGCTGCTTAGATGATGAGTGGCCAACTGTCTTCCTTCCTCTCAGCTGACCTGGCCCGTGCCTGGGAATCCTGGGAGCCCTGGCGCAGCCACCACAGGGCCCACCTGGCTAGAGCTTCCCTCCCGACTCCTGGCAGGGGGGCCATGAGTGACACACAAACTCACTGAGCCCACAGGTCGCACAGGCTCTGGGTGGGGCAGGGGGTCCCAGGTCACTGCCCTGACCATGTAGTCACCCAGCGAGCACCCCTCAGGAGTAAGCGCAGCCCACGCACCTTGGCCTTGCCCTCTTGAGTAGTAACGTGCAGGGTAGGGGTTGCCCGGTGAAGGAACTTGGTACTGGAGTCCCTGGGGGGCACCTGGTCCAGCCTGGAGGGCACCTGCTGTGGAGGGGGCAGCGAGGCAGTGTGGGACTGCCAGTAATGGGGCTGCCTGCCATGCCGCACGGCACCCCCCCTCTCCAGAGCCCCCACCTGGCCTCTCAGGTCCAGCTGTGGCCTCCTCCACCCTCACACCCTGGCCTTGCTTTCCCCAGGGAGCCCCAGGGCAGCTGCTATCAACACTTGGCTCCCCACCTGCTAGGACCTTACTTCGTCCCCTCCCTGGGGTCCGACTGGCCTGGGCCGGGGCCACCCCTCCCTGAGAATGGGGCCAACCTAGTAGGTTCTACCATCAGGGTCTTGAGGGGGGTCCTCAGCCGGCCCTTGTAGCTGTGCAGTGCTGACCACTGGGCAGCCCACCCCTCCCCACTGCACCCCCACCTTCCCTCCCCCACCCCTCCCCAGCCCCCACTCCCTGCGCACCTTCCCCAGGAAATGCCCTTGGCTCCTCCCCATCTAGGTGAAGTGAATTAGGGCTTTACTGCACTCTAGAGGGGTTCCGCCTAACCCCAACTGCATGTAGCCGTGGCTGGGGGTTGGGGGACACTGCAGCCACCATTGGTGGCTGGGCAATGTGTGACCCAGGACAGAGAGAACAGGGCTGGGGACCTGGCAGGCTGGGTGGGCTGCCTGCCTGAGAGACCCTGAGGCCTCACCTGCCCCTGCCTCGCCCCTCCTTGCCTGTCTCACTGATTTGCTCCTTCCCTCCGCAGCTGAATGCAGTGCCGGCTTCTGTTTTCACGGTGGCCGTTGTGCGCCAGGCTCAGCCCAGCCGTGCCACTGTCCCTCCGGCTTCCAGGGACCCCGCTGTCAGTATGGTGAGTGGAGCCCCTGGGGCACCAAGGCCCTGGTCATGGCCAGCCTGTGGGCGAGGGGCAGAGATGTGTCGGCCACTGGCTGTCCCCAGCACAGCTGTGTAGGGCACACCCTGAGTGAACGGGCATTCTTCTGAGGACGTTCTGCAATCCCTCCACCAGTTCCCTGCAGCCCCTCTGAGGGTGTTGAGAGGAGGGGTGACCCCAAGAGAGCCCCCTCAGTGGATGGTGCTGGAGCATATCATCTTGGCGCCCACCGCGCCAGCCCTGCTGTTTATAAAAGGGGACGCTGGCCCCCTGGAAAGGCAGAGGTGTGGCCAGGTCCCAGGGTCTCCAGCTGTGCTGCCACCTTGCCGAACTGTGGTTGTCCTCAGTGTTACAAGATGGGGGACACCCGGGGGTCCTAGCCAAGGCGACTGGTTGAGTAACCGCAGCACAGCCTAGACAGGATTCCCTCACAGGCCCCAAAGACCAGGTTGAAGCAGAGCTGGCAGTGGGGAGATGCTTGCAGGGAGTGGGGATGGGCTGAAAGCAAGCCATTGGGTGACGGGATTTCTGTGAAGAAAAGTGCGCGCCAATGTGGGGAAAAGCGGCAAAGCCTCGTCCCGATTCCTTTGGGCCATGGGCAGCGGGAGTCTTCCTTCCTCTGTGGCTTCCTGCTCTGTCCCGGGTTGCTTCATCCTAGCCTCACGCAGCCTGAGCCACAGCCGTCCCGATGGCATGAAACACTCCCAGTGGCCCTGGGGCTTTGGGACTGCTTGTGTGGTGGCCACCGGGGCTCCATGCCAGGCAGATGCCAGGGCAGAGTGAGAGATATGCTCCGGCGCCCAGGCAGACAGCGGGGGAGACTCGAGGAAATCAGAGGAATCAGGAGGTCCCCACGTTTGTGAAGGGTACCTCTGCCCACTCCACGTTCCGCTGGGGGCCGGGCTGAGGAGGGGTTCTTGAGAGGTGCTGGTCTCCCCAGAGTTCGGAGCTGGGTGCCAGCAGCCTGGGGCATTGGTCATTGTTGGAGGGTTTATTGGTGCTGGAGGGTTTATTGAATGTCCTCTGTTAGCTGGGACGGCCCCTGCCGAGTCACCGCGAGTGCCTGTTGCTTCCTGGATGCTAGGCGGCTGGGAGGGCTGCTGCCCCGGCCGGGGACTGAGACCCGGCTGTCTCATGTGGACGAAAGGGCCCCCCCGGGTCCCCTGCCCTGTCACTGCCCTGCAACATCCAGGCTGCAGGCCTTGGCCAGGCCTCCCTGTGGTCAGAGGTGACCCGTCCCAGCTCCGAGGGCAGATGGGGGTCCACACAGGATGGAGTGGGCTCCGACTGTCACGTTTGGCCTCTTGAGAACTGTAATTATGGCCACAGGTAGGAGTTGAGAAATGCCCCGAGGGCCTTTCCGTCTCATTTGTCTAATCTTTTGGCGTGTGCGTCGCTTCATTTCGGTTTCACACGGAAATACCAGGGCTGACTGGGCTGGCTGGGGAGGTTTCCGGGACAGGGCTGTGGCTCACTGGTCAGCCAAGCAGAGCCTCCGGTGGTCTCTGTTCCTAGGGGAGGGCAAGGAGGAGGTGGCCTTGGGGGGTGGCCTTTCCTGGCCGTGTCCTCTGGGAGGGGATGGAGGACACCTGACCTGCCCCCTCAGGGCTGGCCTCCTGCCTACCGTCAGTCCCCTCCTCCCACCTCATCTTTGTCAGGAGCCTGCTCGGAGACCCCTGGTCCGTGAGACCCTGACACGCGGCCCCCAGGGCACCAGCAGGCACAGGGTTTGTAGGAGGCTCACTGGGGGCTGCACACCCCGTGGGGGAACTCGGCGTCTCATGGGGGCAGGGTGCACTCAGGTGCCCTGTGCCCCACCAGCCTCTTGGCTCTGACTTCTGCGTCACAGACTCTCACGGCGCCTGGGCTCCAGGCTCAGCCTCCAGAGCAGCAGCCCCATGCGCCGGTCACCGTGGGAATGCGCCAGTCACCGTGGGAATGCACCGGTCACCGTGGGAATGCACCGCAGAGCAGGGAGGCTGGAGGCCGGGAGCTCCCTCCTGGCTCCCAGCCACTCTCTTCCTGTGTCACCTCATCAACTCCACACTTCATTTGCTTCCTGAAAGAGGAAACCAAGGTTGGGGAGACCCGGCAGCTGCTGGTGCTCAGCTCGCAAGTGGCCTAGCTGGGGCTGAAGCCAGGTCTGTCTGAGGGAGTGCCATGTACTCCCTTCTGGCCATGCTGCCACCTGGTGCAGGGACAAGCCTTGGTCCTGGGGGAGCCGCTGAGATTTGCTTTGGAGAAGAGGGGAGCAGGGTCCCCGGCAGGGCAGGAGCGTCCCTACCTGTGGCTGGCTTGTGGCCCTTGGGTAGTGGGCCTCCTGGGAGAGTGGCCAGTTAGGGCAGACGTGGCCTTCACAGGGGGCAGTTGACAAGCTGGAGGGTGGCTGCCTGGCCTCCTCCCTGGTCACTCTCTCTCGGAAGAAGGGGAGGGTGTGGAGGCTGGGTGTGCAAAGCCGAGGGTACAGGGCTGAATTATGCAGGGTCGAACTGTGTAGGGTGAAGTGTGCGGGGCTGAATTATGCAGGCCTGGGCATTCAGGATGGAGTGCGTAGAGCTGGGTGTGCAGGGCCAGGCCTGCAGGGTTGAATTGTACAGGGCCAGGTGTGCAGGGGTGGAATGTGCAGGGCTGGGCATGCAGGGTGGAGTGTGCAGGGCTGAGTGTGTAGGCCGGGTGTGCAGGGCCAGGTGTGCAGGACCAGGTGTGAGCGGGTGCTGCCTGCAGGTGTAGCCCCTGCCCTTAGCACTCCCACCTAGACCTCTCACCATCACCTTCCTGTCCCTCCTCCACTCTGGGTCTGGACACTGTAGACCTGAGCTCAAACACAGTTGGGAATATTTAACTAACCCCCCAATTATAATAGATTCTAGTTTTGAAAATAAAAGCCATATTTTCTGGTTCCCCCAAATTATTTCATTTGAACAACAGAGTCGGGGAGGGAGACAGGAACTCTCTGGGCAGCTACGGAGGGCAGTTGTGGGAAGGAGCCCTCCCCGCTCCCCACAGCCCCAGCTTTCCCTCCTTGGCCCAGACGGGGTCAAGTCTCGGGTGTACAGCAGGCGGGTGCTTTGCAGCAGTTTCCCTGAGGCCCTGAGAACCTTTCCACAGAAGCAGCGGGAGCTGTGGGAGCACAAAGCGGGCCTGTCTGCCCCGAAGGTGGAGGGCCTGGCCTGGGCCAGGGCCTGCAGTGAAATCTCCCCCGGCCCAGTGCAGGCCTCGGTGCAGTCAGAGTCAGGGCCAGCTGCTCATTTTGTCCAGGGCTGGCTTTGGTATTCCCCAGGCCTGTGCCTGTGTGACCACTCCACCTCTCGGACCCCGGTCCCCCTTCTGTTCAGCAGGGAGGAGATTTGGCAGTGTTTTGTGCAGGTTGCGTGAGTCCATGTAGGTGAGGCCCAGAGTGGGCCCGGCAGAAGGGTTGGGAAGTGGGGGTCATGGCGGGGACAACCATTGCGATGGCTCAGGTGCAGACTTTGTCCCCAGCTGGTATGGTTTGGCTGTGTCCCCACCCAAATCTCACCTTGTATCTCCCATAATTGCCACGTGTCATGGGAGGAACCCCGTAGGAGGTGGTTGAATCATGGGGGCAGGTCTTTCCCGTGCTGTTTTTGTGATAGTGAGTAAGTCTCGTGAGATCTGATGGTTTTATAAGGGGGAGTTTCCCCGCACAAGCTCTCTCTCTCGGCCTGCTGCCATCCATGCAAGACGTGACTTACTCCTCCTTGACTTCTGCCGTGATTGTGAGGCCTCCCCAGCCACGTGGAACCGTGTGTCCATTAAACCTCTTTCTTTTGTAAATTGCCCAGTCTTGGGTGTGTCTTTACCAGCAGTTGGACAACGGACTAATACCCTGGCTCTTGGGTTAACTACACACTGAGCACCCAGCTGCCATGTGGAGTCTCCCGGAGTGGTCCAGGGTTCGGAAGACCCCCCAGGACTGCCAGTATCCTTGCCCTGTGGGTCTGCAAAGGAGGGAGGAGGGAGGGAGACCCTAAAGACCCCCTCCCCTGTCCCTGGGAGGGCTTTGGGGTCCCCTCAGAGCATCAGTTTCATCAGACCAACCAGGAACAATTTTCACAGCCAAAAACCTGGCCTCGTCCTGCCTTTGCACCCAGGTCCCACCTGTGTGTGCTGCTCTGGCAAGCGTGGGTGGACGCCCCCACCCCTTCCCCAACACCCACTGGTGACCTGGGCTTGGCACGGAATCTGTAATGAAAAGACCGGCAAGAAGAAGTTAGTGAGGACAAATGACCTCCTAATAGATGTCTTTTGTACCACACAAGGTGACAGAAATCTCTACAAATCTACTAATTGCTTGATCTGGTCTCAGCTGACCTCGTGGAACAAGGGCAGGCTCTGAGAAATGAGGCCTGGGTCACCTCTAGGTACTTTCTTGGTTCAAGAACCTTTGGCTCAGGCCAGGCGTGGTGGCTCACACCTGTAATCCCAGTACTTTGGGAGGCCAAGGCAGGCGTATCACTTGAGCCCAGGAGTTCAAGACCAGCCTGAGCAACGTGGTGAAACCCCGTCTCTACCAAAAATACAAAAATTAGCCAGGCGTGGTGGTGGGCGCCTCTAATCCCAGATACTCAGGAGGCTGAGACAGGAGGATTGATTGAACCTGGGAGGTGGAGGTCTCAGTGAGCCAAGATTGCGCCCGATTGCGCCACTGGACTCCAGCGTAGGCAACGGAGCGAGACCCTGTCTCAATCAATCAATCAGTCAATCAATCAATCAATGTCTTTGGCTCTGATTCCCTTCTGGGCCTCAGTTTTCCCCCATCAAAGGGGCAGGTCAGACGGGTCTCTGGCACCACCACACTAGAGTGTTGCCACCCTCACTCCTGGGTCCAGGTGAGTGGTCAGGGCTCCAGCGATGCCCAGCAGAGGCTTGGCTGCCTCAAGGACTTCCTGGAGGAGGTGGGCCTGTGGGCTGGGGAAGGGTTGGGAGGTGCAATTTGTTCTGGACAAGTTTCCAGA